TAGGTGCCCTACTGGATAAATGTGTATTCTCCAAATCAACATTATACATGATGATTTGTTCTCAATCGGCTGATCTGGTTAAATAAAAATATTAGTCAACACTTGACACAGTGGTTGAAGCTTAACCATTCTCCAGATTTGTAAGAGAATTTATTGACATTTTGGCTGAAGGTGAAAAAAAGAGAAAATAATTATACAATGAAATAAGAAGCAAGGCCAAAAAAATTAAATGTGTAAAAAACCTGTTCACTTAAATAATAAGATGCCAGGTAGATAGGACAGTTTCCTTGCTCCATAATAAACCGAAGCAATATGAACACGAACATTCATGTGTGTATTTCATTTTCCAGCGGGGAGTTGCTTTCATGTGGTTTTCTCTTTACACAAGGAGCTGAACTATTTCCTTCATTCAGTGCTGTACTGGAGCACCCATTAGAGTGTCATTAATTTTCCTGCCAATTTATAATGCTTTTATAATGGTCAGGTTGCAGTTAGCAATTTTTTTCCCCATTCAAGTCAATTGGCTGTGGCTGACATTGTATTTAGTCTTCTAATCTGCACACTCTATGATTAAAGAAGGGACTGAACAATTCTTCACACTCCCTCAAGTGCTGCATTATAAATACCTTAGGCATCGAAAAATGGCTAACTATATACAACATCATTCCTGGGATTATATTCACACTGAAGAAAATACATAACACAATTAAAGTTGTTTTAAATAGGGGTAAATAAAAACGCTCATAATGATTAATTTGACTAAAATTTCACTGAGAGCATTGGCTTCAGATAAGGATGCAAGCATGTCAATATTTGATAGTCTCCTGTCTGTGCCATTAGCTGATCCAAGTGAAATTCACCACACAACAGCAAACAATAGGTTAAGGGTCACCGGAGTGGGCTGGTTTCAAAGATAGCCTGTGGCTCAAACGGAGCCCATGAGCTGGCAATATTATGAGGGAGAGCTACTGTACATCAATCGATGCCTTAGCTTTCTTGTTAGATGATGTTGATGCCACTTACAGAAATCACTATATAAGAAAATGACTATTATAGCTCCCCTTCCCCTGAGAGAGCAGAAATTGCAAAAGCGGACATTTTGAAAGCACTTTGCTTAGTCCCCAAATAGTAAAGAGGTGGCAACCATGAAACTCTCAAACAAGAAAATGTATATACTTTAAACCTCTGGTGCATGCGCTGTATTATATGTTAGGCCAGCTACAAAATTAAACTCCCTTATAACAGTGCTATCTCAAATCAGCATCAAGCTATAAACTGCAGCAAGAAAAAAACAAAACCCCTTCAGAGTCTATCACATCTTTGTGATAATCTATTAAGGGATAAACACTGAAAAGTGAACATTTCTTTTCATTTTCTCACACTAAAACCCCACTATTACAGTATAAAACAGATCATGAAAAAGGGCAAGCAAATTACTATGCTCCTGAGTCTCCTATAGTATATTCCTATAATATTATTTAATATTTTAGATGTTACGGGACTCTTTCCGTAGTTAATAGGTTTGCTTAAGTAAAAGAAAATAAATCCTTTATATTCACCGTTAAGACCATTTTATTTAACCAGCTTTTTTTCAACTTTTTTGATTAACTTAAAATAAAAATCAACCATTTCCGTTACAGAAATCTATTTCAAATCCAAGATTAAATCCATGGACTGATAATATTTCTAATTATTATTACTATGTTATAAACATTACATCAATGCATTATTTGCAATGTGACAATGGTTACTGACACTTTGGTAATTATTGGTCATTTAATTTAAGTAAGCTCTTGCTGTACATGGCTTAGTAACTTTATGTGATATGACTGAATATCACCTTTTTAACCTTTTAATATGACTGGCCATCCAAGGAATTTGACTAGAGCCTGGAGCTGCGATTATTTCAACAGAACATCAGACCTTTATCCAGTGTCATATTGTGTTGTATGGATACACAATAAAATGAATGAGATGTTGATAAGGTTAACAGCCAGTGCTGTGAGCACTTTGGAACAGTCATTGCTGAGCACTATACTCACCACTGGAAGACACTGCATTTCTCAAGCATTTTGACTCCATAGGGGTGAGAGGACAGCGACCCCAGGAAAAGGAAGTAGTGCTGGCTGAGGGTGTTGAGAAGACCATTGTTCTGGAGGCTGCGGTCAGGTTTCATTCCCGAGGAGGAGGTGAGCCACTGGACGATGTCCTTAACTAGGTCCTCCAGGTACGGCTGGCCATCCTGTTACCCAAGAGGACACAACAGGACAATGTAGAGCAGGCCAGCCCAACTGCGGTTTTCCAGGGCCACTGTCCAGCAAGTTGAAAATGTTTATTTCAATCTTCTCCTTCTCCAGGGGAAGCAAAGACTTTAACTTGTCCAATTAAGCAAATATTTAATTCAATTAAAATGTGGCGAAACTTTCTGGTCCTCCAGGACCGTAGATAGACACCCCTTACTCCCAAGATACAGACAAATACCAACAAAAATTTCAGAACCCTTCATGAACCCAGTCATGAGGAAAGAATAAGAAAAATTTAAAACCAAATTTCCATGGAATGTCTACATGACCATACAGCACCCTAACACCTTTTCAACAAATCCATCTGCCTTCTTAAATTTGCCTGGTCGCAATGAGAAAACCACTACTGCATTTATTCAGTTATAACGCAAACTAGTAAAACAAGAATTACCACCCATATATTAAACAAAAAAGAAGTGCAGAGCGTGTTTTTTTGTTGTTTTTGACAACAGGAACTGCAAGTCATGAATGGCTGCTTTACCTCATCCGACTCGAGCAGGAACTCGATAAACTGGCAGCCAACCACTGTCAGCTGTTTGGCTTTGCTGTGATCCAACTCCAGACTGGCGTAAAGCTTACTGCTGGGCTTGTAAAAATACAGCAGCCTCCGGACAAACCTAGAGCCAAACATTAAAAGTCACGTGACTCGAGGAAATGCAACTAAGCTGCAAAATACACAGGGCAGACTCTAGAGCACATCACTGGAATGAAAGACGGAGAAACAGGCATACACTGTCCTGCTAAAAAATAAAGAGGCTGAGTAGCTAAAACGGCCTTGATTAAATAAAAATCTGACATGACCACCAATTGGAAGTTACAGTACAAACCCAATATTTGACAGTTTTGGTTTTATATTGGGCAAACAACAGTTTACCCTGACAATGTGTGGAAAGTAAGAAGAGCTGCTGTTGGTTTCAACTCAGCTCGTTAAAAATACTTATTAACAGGACTTTTAAAGATTTTATTATAAATACATACAAAATGTGTTCTTTTTGTACACAAATTAATTAAATTAAAATCAGTGAAGTACTCTTGAATCAACTGAAAAAGTGGAAAGCATTAACCAAATTGGTAGCTGTGAAATTCACTGTGATAGCTGTTCAG